CGATCCAAGGCGCTGTCCAGCACCAGCGAATAGTAGTTCTTGAAGGTGGACATCAGCTTGAAGGGGACATGGGGTGTTAGTGAGCAGATCACCTCCCCATTAGCTCCAGAATCTCGGTCAGACACATTAATCAAGGTGATGACTGTGCCCGGCTGAGCATTCTCTGAGATAGGGAGAGACAGGGAAGTAAGAGCCAACTCAGGAGCATTATCATTAGCGTCCAAAACTTGCACATGAACTGTACAGTGACCAGCTAGTGGTAGGGAGCCCTTATCGATCGCTTCTATTCGAAGTTTGTAGGTTTTACTTTCTTCAAAATCGATATGTCCTATTGCTACAATTTCTCCGTTTATGGCATCAATGTAGAACTTAGATTTTATATCTGGGGAAACATCACTAGAGAATGAGTAAATAATATCCGCATTCGAGCCTTCATCCAAATCTGAGGCGTTAAGTTTAATTACCAAAGTTCCATTGGGAATATTTTCTGGTAATTTCACGGCATAGAGTGTTTTATCGAAAGCGGGGGCGTTGTCATTGGCGTCCAGCACTTTGATGAGTAACTGAACGGAGCCGGTCAGCTCAGGTTTGCCTCTATCAGTGGCCGTGAGCAATAAATGAAGTTCCGGAGATTGTTCCCTGTCTAAAGGTTTCCGTAATACAAGTCCAAGAGGTTTTACCTGTTCGTCATTTGTTGGTACATCCAGAGAGAAAAACTCGTTCGGGCTCAGTCTGTAAGTCAACAGAGCATTCTCTTCGATATCTGCATCGGAAGCGTCCTCTAGTGGAAACCGAGAGTCTAGCATCCTGGATTCTGCCATAAACAGGTTCTTTTGTGTCTGGGGGAACACAGGCGCGTTGTCGTTAATGTCCTTCACCTCCACCTCCACATGGAAAACCTGCAGCGGCCTGTCCACGATCACCTCCAGGTGGATGCTGCACTCCGCGCTCCGCCCGCACAGCTCCTCCCGGTCGATCCGAGAATTCACAAACAAAATGCCATTCTGCAGATTTACCTCCAGAAGGTCCCCGTGGCCTTTGGACGCCACCCGGAACATGCGCGGTACGAGCTCCGTCAGTTCCAGCCCCAAGTCCTGGGCGATGCGGCCCACGAAGGTGCCGTGTTTAGCCTCCTCCAGGACCGAGTAGTGGACCTGGCCGCTTCCAGTCTCCCAGACTGTGAGAATTATAAAAAACAGCAGTAGATGCCGGTGCTCCCGGTCGCCTCGATTCGAGTACACCATTTCAAATTAATTTTTTTTTTCATTCAAATCGTAACGTGTCTCAAAATCTAGAGGAATCTTCTCATCTCTTCCTTACTATCCTGAAGCGCTCGCCATTGTTCGTCGGCTTAGAGAAATAGAATGAGGAGTCTTTCCAGTATGAAAACGGATGACTTAGTCTTGTCTTGAATGAGAAAATTTCGCGGTAAAGAGCGACATCATGTGGCCAAATAGTAAGTACGGACTACAAATACCAATTTTCTATTCATAAGTGTTAAGTTTTACTTTAACCTCTGATTTTTTTCCCCCTCAGTTTCGTTAAAGCACAGGACCACAATTCCCATGCTTACTGAAAGCAGTAAGAAACTTAACTTCTAAATCTTTAGTGTGACCATTACTGTGGTCTCCTTATGCCTTGAAAACACATTTTCTTACAGTTTTAAAATAAAAATAAAAATCTGACAATAAAGTGAATCACGGCTGGAACACTAAAATATATTAAAATATTTTGTTCAGAGTCCAGGTTACTCCATTTTCTTAGGTTTCTGTTAAGAGAACTCTTGGTGCCTCTTAGGAATCCAAGATCTCAAGTATTTACTAGTGGAAGAAAAACTTAGAAGCATTATTTGTTTGTTTTTAGGAATCAAGGGATCTAAGCAACTAATTCATATACTTCTGAAAAAATACAATAATAGAAGATTTAGGGAATCTTTGAAGAAGAATCATTTGTATTAAATGAATTTTGCATGGAGGAAGTATTCTGAATTTCTCTTTTCATCAGAATTTATAAACTCTGTTCCAAAAGTTCATCGTTCTTATCTCTTTATTCTTTCCATCCTTTCTAAGCTCCACATTTAATGAATATCTACCTGTTTTTACAACCTCCAATTTAACTTGGATTCTTATTTCATAACAAATTTATTTCATTAGATAAATGTTGGTGCTCATTTGTCAGACTTAGAGCAGTCCTTTAATCAAGTTTGATGTGTTTTATCCTTTTTAATTTTACTTCACGGAGCAAATTTTCTTGAATGTTTCATTCTTGTGTTTCCAAGTGCAAATTATATAATTACACCCATATTGCTTTCCAGTTTTGATACCTGCCTAAATAAGTTTTTTCCAACTTGTATATGTTTTCAATTAGCAAAAAATTGACAATAAAAACACAGAAGCATACCATTTATGTAGTAACACTAAATAAAAGCAGGTAGAATTTTCAAAACTACATTTCTCAAAACTAATTGTCATTAATACCATTTAGTCATGTAACTTATAGTGGCATAGCTTTATAAAAATGTTTAAGACTGGTTGGTAGTCTTAGTCTTAACTTAGATTTCCTTTTAAAATGGAGAAGAGGGGAGCTACTTGTGAGTTAAACAGTATTTCAAGATGGCATGTTGATTATAAACTCAAAAGGTACATTGATACCTGTTCTATAAACAATAAATATGAATATAACTTATTTAAGCCTACTGGTTCACATTTTTAAAGAATCCTCATTTGTTTAAAGTTGAATACTATAAACGGTTCTTGAAAGTCTATTGTGGACATATTAGTCCAACTAGTTGGGGGTGCTGGAGTGAATTATGTGACCATCCAAATCAGAGCCTGATTTAGAGTTAAAAAATCAAGCTATATTACATAAAATTTACAGCCATAAGTAACATAATCAGTCACTCAGATAATACCACTTCCAAAGCTTACATCATCTTGGTGACCCTTCTTTTCTGTTTTGACTTACACATAACCTTCTATTAAATAAGCAAAAATTATAAATGTTCAATAAAATTCTGGAAGTCACTGAATTCAATTCTGAATGATAGTATCTGGATGATAGTAGTTTGTGCATTTGATATTGTAGTCACTTTCATTACAAATATTTCCTTAATTCTAGGTCAGGGAGAGGTAAAATAGGAAGAATATGATTCCCAAATGCAGAATCTTGAGTTATGAAGCATCCAGACGAATGTGTGCATGCATGCTGCAAACTCACTTTTTGCTGGGCTGTTATATGCTGCTGCTCACATGACCTTGAAGACTTTTTTTTTTTTTTTCAGAGAAAGAGCATGTGCACACACAACCATGGGTAGGAGAAGGACAGAGAGAGAGGGAGAGGGAGAGAGGTAATCTTAAGCAAGCCCCACACTGGGCTCCATCTCACAACCCTGTGATCATGACCTCAGCTGAAATCAAGAGTCAGACTCTTAACTGACTGAGCCACCCAGGTGCCCCTGAAAGTCCTTCTTAAGAGAGGGCATTGCTAGCTCCAGGATGATCTGGTTGAAGATTGGTTACACTAGTAATTTTCTTTCCTCATTGACCATTTCTGCCAAGACTGCAGCTCTGTTTTTGTTTTGAAATCTTGTCCTGAAGGGTTTGTTGCCATGTTCCAATTTTCTCTTCCAACTATGTTCAGTGGCAATGAGTGGTACTAGTCACCAGGGCCACAAGAACATCTGAGACTTCCTTGCTGCAGGATGGCATTCTCAAAGGGGGCGCTACTTAGAGGCCAACAAACAGAGCCCAGCATGAGGTTCCACAACCTTTTGGCCCTCCATAGTGCTTCTGCCTCCTGACTCTGCCTAAATGAGGTCTAAATATTGCTGCTACCCTGGATTATTTCAATAGCTTCTTATTATGTTATTTTGCCACAATCCCATTTATCCTTCACTAAATCTTCCTGAAATACACCTTTTATTCCTGTTGCTTCACACTTTTAGTTTTCAGATGACTTTAGAGGTGGGTCAAAATTTCTTAGTCTAGGGGCGTCCAGGTGGCTCAGTGGGTTAGGTTAAAAGCCTCTGTGTTTGGCTTGGGTTGTGATCCCAGGGTCCTGGGATCAAGCCCCACATCAGGCTCTCTGCTCAGCGGGGAGCCTGCTTCCTCCTCTCTCTCTGCCTGCCTCTCTGCCTACTTGTCTGTCAAATAAATAAATAAAATCTTTTAAAAAAATCTTAGTCTAGTACTCTAACTTATCCAAACCCTTTTTCACATGTTACTTTTCCTGCCTTATCTCATACTCTTTCCTGTAAGAACCGTATGTTTTGACCAAAACAGACTATTCTGTTTCTAGACACATTGTAATTTTCTGTGTACATATTTACTTAAGTTTGTCTGTTCCCAGGAATGCCCATCATGTTCCATATTCTCTCAGAGAAAACTTCTCCATTTTTTAAAAAAAGGATTTTATTTATTTATTTATTTATGGAGAAAGAAAATCTCAAGCAGACTCCACATTGAGTGTGGAGCATGATGTGGGGCTTGACATTCTCCAGAATAGGTCACATAGTGGGTCACAAATCAGTCCTTAACAAATACAGAAAGATTGAAATTATACCATGTACCTTTCCTAACCACAACGCTATGGAACTACAAGTCAACCATAAGAAAACATTTGGAAAGACCACAAATACATGGAGGTTAAACCATATGTTACTAAACAATGGATGACTCAACCAGGAAATCAAAAAAAGATTTTTTTAAAAAGTACATGGAATCAAGTGAAAATTAAAACACGATGGTCCAAAACCTTTGGGATGCAGCAAAAGCCGTCTTAAGAGGCAAGTATATAGTAATACAGGCCTAACTCAAGAAGCAAGAAAAACTCAAATAAATAGCCTAAACTTACACCTTAAAGAGCTAGAAAAGAGCAACAAATGAAGTCCAAAGCCAGGAGAAACAAGAAAATAATAAACATTAAAGAAAATAAATGACAAAGAAACTAAAAAAGCAATAGAACAGATCAATGAAACTGGAAGTAGGTTCTTTAAAAAAATTAATAAAATTGATAAACTTCTAGCCAGACTTAGCAAAAACAAAAGGACCCAAATGAAAAAAATCACAAATGAGAGAGAAGAAATAACAACCACCACCACAGAAATATAAACAATTATAAGAGAATATCATGAAAAACTATATGCCAACAAATTGGACAACCTGGAAGAGATGGATAAATTCCTAGAAACATAGAAACTACCAAAACTGACACAGGAAGAAATAGAAAACTTGAACAGACCAATAACCAGTAAAGAAATTGAATCCATAATCAAAAACTCCCAACAAAGTCCAGGGTCAGAGGGCTTCAAAGCAAATTCTGCCAAACATTTCAAAAAGAGTTAATACCTATTCTACCCAAACTATTCCAAAAAATAGAATAGGAAGGAAAATTTCTGATCTCATTCTGTGAGGCCAGCATTACCCTCATGCCAAAACCAGATAAAGACTCCACTGAAGAAGAGAACTACAGGCCAATATTCCCGATGGACATGGATGCAAAAATTCTTAATAAAATATTAGCAAATGAAATCCAACAATACATTAAAAAAAACATCCACCATGATCAATTAAGATTTAGTTCTGGGCTGAAAGAGTGGTTCAATTTTTACAAATCAGTCAACATGATACACAACACTAACAAAAGAAAAAAATAAGAACCATATGATCCTTTCAGTAGATGCAGAAAAAGCATCCGACAAAGTACATGATAAAGACCCTCAACAAAGTAGGTTTAGAGGAGACATACCTCAACATAATAAAGGTCATCTATGAAAAACCCACAGCTAGTATCAACCTAATGAGAAAAAAACTGATAGCTTTTCCTCTATGGTCAAGAACAAGACAAGGATGTCCACTCTTACCACTGTTACTTAATGCGGTACTGAAAGTCCCAAACAGCAATCAGAAAATGAAAGGAAATTAAAGGCATCCAAAGCAACAAGGAAGAAGTAAAATTTTCATTATTTGCAGATGACATGATACCTTATATAGAAAACCCAACAGATGTCACCAAAAATTTTCTAGAACTGATAAATGAATTCATTGGAGTTGCAAAATATAAATTCAACATACAGAAATCTACTGCATTTCTATATACCAAGTAATGAAGCAGCAGAAAGAAATTAAGTAATAAATCCCATTTACAACTGCACCAAGAACAGTAAGATACCTAGGAATAAACCTAACCAAAAAGGTAAAAGACATGTACTCTGAAAACTGTAAAACATTGATGGAAGAAATTGAAGATGACAAAAATAGAAAGATATCTCCTACTCATAGATTGAAAGAACAAATATTGTTAAAATGTCAGTACTACCCAAAGCAATCTAATGTGGTCCCTATCAAAATATCAGCAGCATTCTTCACGCAGCTAGAAAAAACAATCCTATCATTTGTATGGAACAAAAGAGACCCCCTAATAGCCAAAGCAAGCTTCAAGAGCAAAGCTGGAAGCATCACAATTGTGGACTTCGAATTCTATTACAAAGCTGTAGTGATCAAAACAGTATGGTTTTGGCACAAAAGCAGACACGGAGACTAACAGAATACAATAGGAAATCCAGAAATGAACACACAAAACCATATGGTCAATTAATCTTCAACAAAGCAGGAACGAATATCCAGTGGGAAAAAGACAGTCTCTTCAACAAATAGTATTGGAAAAACTGGATAGCAACATGCAAAAGAATGAAACCAGACCATTTTCTTACATAAAATAATACACAAAAATAAATTCAAAGTGGATTACAGACCTAAATGTGAGACTTGAAACCATAAAAATCCTAGAGAACACAAGCGGTAACATCTTTGACATGGGCATAGCAATTTCTTTCTAGATATATCTCCTGAGGCAAGAGAAACAAAAACAAAAACTATTGGGACTTCATCAAGATAAAAAGCTCCTACATAGTGAAGGAGTCAATCAACAAAACTAAAAGGCAACTTACAGAATGGGAGAAGATATTAGCAAATTACACATCTGATAAAGGGTTGATATCCAAAATACATTAAGTATTGTAAAACTCAACACCCAAAAATGAAAAATCCACTTAAAAATAGGCAGATGACATGAATAGACATTTTTTCAAAGACTTATATGTGTCAACAGACTCATGAAAAATAACCAACATCACTAATCATCAGGGAAATACAAATCAAAACTACAATGAAATATCACTTCACACCTGTCCCAATGGCTAAAACCAGCAACACAAGAAACAATAGGTGTTGGCCAGGACCGGAAAAAAGAGGAACTCCCTTTCAGTGTAGGTGGAAATGAAAACTGGTGCAACCAACTCTGGAAAACAGAATGGAGGTTCCTTGAAGGTTAAAAATAGAACTAACCTATGATTTAGCAATTGCACTACTGGGTATTTACCCAAAGGATACAAAAATACTAATTCAAAGGGATACATGCACCCTGATGTTTATAACTGCATTATCCACAATAGCCAAATTTGGAAACAGCTCAGGTGTCCAGTGACTGATGAATGGATAAGAAAATGTGATATATATATATTTGTTATTATACGTATATATACACAATGGAATATAACTCCACATAAAAAAGAAAACTATCTTGCCATTTTCAATAACGTGGGTGAAGCTAGAGAGTATCGTGCTAAGCAAAATAACTCAGAGAAAGACAAATGCCATATGATTTCACTCATATGTGGAATTTAAGAAACAAAACAAATCAGCAAAGGAAAAAAAAGAGCGAAAGAGAAAGAGGGAGAGAGGCAAACCAAGAAAGAGACTCTTAACCATGGAGAACAAACTGATGCTTATCAGAAGGGAGGTGGGTGAGTGATGGATTAAATAGATGACCCGGATTAAGGAAGTCGACTTTTGATGAACCCCGAATTTTGTATGAAAGCGCTGAATCACTAAACTGTACACATCGAACTAACATAACACTGTATGTTAACTAACTGGAATTTAAATAAAAACTTGTTTTAATCTTTATTTATTTTTGAGATAGAGACAGCGAGCAAGTAGGGAGCCCAATGGGAACTTGATCCCAGGACCCTGGGATCATGACCTGAGTGGAAGGCATACACTTAACCAACTGAGCCACCCAGGCACCCAAATAAAAACTCTTTAAAAAGAAGAAATATTTAAAAAAAAGAAGAAGAAGAAATATCTCCATGAAAAGCAACACACCAAACAAAATTCAAACATAAGAGATGTGCAATGTCTGAGAAATATAGATTTCATATGAATTTACTCGATCAAAGTGCAAGTTCCCTTGAATTTCTATTTAACCACTATTTGGATCAAATGCAAAGAAATGAAAATTCTACATAATAATTAGAAAAATGCTACTACTTATGCATATTAAAAATGCACCACAAATAGATACAATGTCTGATTCCAGTTTAAATTAAGACTAATAACAAACTAAATAGATTACAATACTTAACAGAAAAATGAACAGAATATCTTAAGAAAATTTATTTAAATTTTTAAAAAATGAAAAATGTAAAGAAAAATTCTAGGGAAAGGATTTACTATTTCATGTATGTGTAACTGTTAATTATGAAAACTCAGACTTACCTTGGCACAATGCTCATCATTTAAATCCTGTTGCTCGCTCATATCCCCCACTACCAGACAGGGTGGATGACTAGGACTGAAGGCCATGAGGTCGGTCTTGGGCGCGCCCTCCCCAGAGCA